CTGGACCCGGTGGCTTAAAACTCACGCTGGGCAAGTGTGCATGCGTGCCCAAGATCCCGAGAGGAGAATGGAGGAGAAGGGATTGTGGCATGGCCATCCACCCTGGGGGGTAATTTCTCGCTTTCTATCTCTCTGTCTCTCTCTGTCTGTCACGTGCCCTATAGCAAAAACCTCTCCAATAATAATAATAATAATAATAATAATAATAATAAGCTGGGCGTATACAGCAAGTCACAAAACATGCCACACCCTAACCATCTCTTTGGTTAGATGTGAACTTGTTGCTTTGAATGAGGAGCATAGGTAGGTTGTTGGAAATAATGTAGCTTTATTTTTTGTGATTGTCTAAGTCCATGAATCATATCTGGTATGGTTACAGTAGCTCACCTGCTTTCAATGATGTAAGAACTAGACACCCATCCCATCCTAGGGTGAGATTTGTAAAGAATAGACAAATGTCCTACTCAAAGGGGGGGAGGGGTGGCACAGTGCTGAAATGCTATGCAATGTGAGCTGACCCACATGGAAAGGTTCTAAGTTTGCATATGGAAGCTTCTTTGGGTGTGCTGGGCATGTGAGTATCTGTGATGCAGGGCTGGCTGAGGCAGGGGGTGGATCGTGGCATTGGGACCCTGTTAGGGGTGCTTTCTCTCCATCTGCCTATCTGTGGTTCATGGAAAAAAATAAGCTTAAAGCCCAACTTATGATAGCCTTGGCACTGCTTCAGTTTTATCTTTTTGGGCTCTAGATAGCATTTTTAGTTGACTTTTAAATCTTTTTAAAATAATAGGATAGGGCAAGCAGGTGACATGATGGTTAAGCAGCTGGGTTCCCACATGACTGACTGCAGTTTGATACCCAGACCTAGGCACTTGAAAATCATGCCAGGCATGCATGTGTGTATGCCCAAAATCCAGAGAGGAGAGAATGATTGCTGTGTGGCTATCCCCCCAGGGAATGATTTCTCACTTTCCCTCTCTCTGGTGAGCACAGGAGCCCTTTGGCAAAAACCTAAAAACAAACAAATAAAAAAGACAACAGAACAAAAATTGAAGGCAGCTTACCACCACATTGTGTTTGATCTTCAGAATTTTACTATATGGTCTTCTTAAGTCTTAAACTAGTGCTTTTAAACTTTGCTCTTGAACTTTATTGTCTATACTGTGTTTGAGGGTAGTTACTTTCCCCGAAAAAAAATTATTTTCCCTGGATCGCAGTAAATTTTCGACTCTACAACATCTAATTATTACTGAAACAACTCGTTATTACTGAAATGCAAAGTATTTCCTGGAAATTATCAAGGAGCCTGTATACTGCTCAAAATGCTAAAGTCATTATTTCAAGAGGAAATTATTTATTTGTTCAGTCATTAATTCTCCAACAATTTTAAATTTCCTGTTTCCACACTTCTTTTTTTAGGCGTTGGGAACTATAAGAATATGTATTACAATTGTCTTTTGTGTGTATTCCCACATAAATGATTTAGTATTCAACTATATTGTACTGTTCAATGTTCATTTCAAAGACTGAGATAGACGTCAAGTGAGCAAAGTTCGAGAAACTTCAGAAATAGCCTACTATTGAATATCTTGGAAAATAACCTTCTTCCAGTGAATGGGGGAGACAGTTATTAAATAGACACTTTTATAAAGTACTGGTATGTTAAAAGAGTATTAAATGCTCCTTTAAACATTCTCCTGGTACTCTATACATATTAACCCATTCCAGTAATGTTCTTTTGAGATACAAGATATTGCATTTTACCAGATTTTAAAGAAAGATGTAGGAAAGGGCCTGGCAGGCTTTCTCCAGGATCATAGCGACTTAAAGCTGAAGCCCTCACTATTTAGTTTTGTCTTCCAGGTTTGTGGCTGTCAAGAGCCCTTTGAGATTGCACTAATTCAATGGTTTCTTTTGTTTTGTTTTGTTTTGCAGAAAATCTCTGTGTCAGAGGATACAGAATTAGAAATGGTAGATGAGGAAGATTTCACCCAAAGATGTTTAAAAAATGGAAAGCAGTGGCCTATTCTTTTTTTTCTAAGATTTATGTATTTAATTCCATTTATTATTATTATTATTATTAGTCTGACCAGAGAGAGACAGAGAGAGAGAAAGGGAAAGCAAGAAATCAAGCTGCCAGGTCCAGGACTTGAACTGTGGTTGACTATGTGGGAATCCAGT